TATTCATTGCAGAAATTTAATGTTATAAAGTATTTTAAATTCAGTAGCTACACTGAACATTTGAAGTGATAGCTCATTTTCCAGCCAACCCAAATTTTGTTTTAAGTAAGAATCCATCATCAAACTGCTCCATGGACAGTATGGTACATAAACACCACACTAGATGTCAGAAATGTGGCTTCTGTGTCTGCCCCCAATAGCAATAATTTCAGCGGATCACTTCATTCTCAGTTATTCATGCTTTCAAAATATTCAAATATAAAACAAGACTGGATCTATATATGGATGTTCATTCTAGAATTCTACAAATTGTAAGCAATTTATTTTAACCAATTTAATTTATTTTTTGAGAGTACAACTAAACAAAAGTTAACAGCAGTATGAAATTACACTGAAAAACTGCACAGACATACAGTGTTTTTGTTATGTCTCTGACTTTCAAATTCAAGTGGGTGGAGGGGACAGGTTGTAACTGAAAACTATCCAAGTAATTTTTTGACCACAGGAACTCCTGGGGTAGCAAAAATGGCTAAAGAATAGAATAAATGTTCAAAAAAAAAAAAAAACAAGATCACAAAAATACCAAAATAAAAAACAGATGATCCACAGAGTTACTGATACACTACAGTGCTTTTCATAGTTTTTCAACATTCCTAAGGGGGCTGATAGAGAAAGAACTGTCCTCTTAATCATCAAAATTACTTTTTGTATCCTCAAACACAAGAACAAAGTATCAATTGCACTGGCAACTTAGTTACCTGTGCCTATAGTTCATTTAAACTAGAAGTTATTTAAATTAAAGGCTGTTATTTATGCCTTTACAGCTTTTAACATAACAGCGCTTCACACTGGCTCAACAAGTGAATGACTGATCTTCTAATTTTCTTTTTTGATTTTTTTTTTTCAAGACAGGGTTTCTCTGTGTAACAGCCCTGGCTATCCTGGAACTCACCTGTAGACCAGGCTGGCTTCAAACTCACAGAGATCCTCCTGCCTCTGCCTCCTGAGTGCTGGGATTAAAGACGTGTGCCACCACCATCCAGCTTCATTTTTTCTTTTTATTGAGGAAAATACAACATTTTCAGTCCACTATATATTTATTCATTTTTATTTCATATGTATGAGTATTTGCCTACATGTGTATTTGTGCGCCACATGTGTTCCTGGTGCCATTGGAGGCCCAAGAGGGCATCAGATCCCCTTGAACTGGACTTACAGATCGATGTATGCTGGCATATAGGTGCTGGGAACCAACACTGGGTCTCCTACAAACACAAAAAGTACCCTTTAACTACCCAGTCTCATCTCTCGAGTCCCAAATTTACTTTTTTTTTTTTTTTTTAAATACAAGATATCCACTTGTGGTGGCTCACACCCTTAATTCCAGCACTCAGGAGTAGAGGCCGGAGGATCTCTGTGAGTTTGAGGACAGTCTGGTCTACAAAGAGACTTCCAGGAAAGGCTCCAAAGCTATACAGAGAAACCTTGTCTCAAAAAACAACAAAAAGTATGCATTATCTCCTCCACCTCTTCCTTCTTCAAGACACAGTCTCTCCTTTTCTGGCCTGGACCTCACCATGTAGACCGATGTGGCCTCAAATTCAGAGATCTGCGACTACTGTTAAGATTACCATGCCAGGCAATATATTCTTTTTTCAAATTCATGGGAGAGAATCATAGCTATATAAATATATTAGCAACAACTAATAAATTAACTACACCATGAGAGATTTGCAGATAAACCATTACTATCTCACAGAAACACATCAATCCTTTTACCTATTTAAAGTAATTTTATAACTTTTTTTTTTTGAAACAGGATCATGAATATTCCAGGTTGGCCTCAAATTCAATATATAGCTAGCTGTGGACAACCTCGAACTTCTAATCTTCCTGAGTGGGCATGTGTCTGCTTTTGTCATGCTGAGGAAACCAAACCTGGGGCTACATGCATGTTAGCTGAGCTCTACCAACTGGGCTGCAGCCCCAGTCCAATTTCACAACTATTAACTCAGTCTAGATTCACATCAACAAAACCTGTGAGGTCAGAGGTTTTTCTAATATTATAGATGAGGAAACTGCAGCACAGAAAGGTTGAACACGTTCTAAATGCCAGTTAATGGCAGGGGGAATCATGATTCTTAGTATTACAATTTCTCAGAAGGAGTACTACAACATATGGCAAGTCTTTTCTAAAAGATAAATGTTTTGGTATGGCGAGTAATACTTTCTAGATATGTATAAACACACATACATACACACTTTGATTTTTAATAACAGGTGCACTTAAGACAAAGCAACTGGAAGCTATAAATATTAAAATAAACTAAATAGCTACTGGATTTTAATAGAATAAGAAAATAAGATTTCACTCTAGTAACTTAGCTTTATTTCTTCTGTAATTCCTACTCATATCTAAATAAGTCAGAGACTTAGCCCAGGCAAATATGAACTGGCTTATCCAATAAATTAGAGATTTATTAAAACACTTCCCCAAAATATTAAAAATTAAACAGTACTCCAGAAATGGTGGTGCAAAAGCATGCAATTCCTGCACCAGTTACATGAGGAGTTCCAGACTAGCGAGTTCTACAGACTTAAACGGTCTCAAAACAAACTAAATTAATTGATTTAAAACATTAGCTCTCGATTTATCCACCAGATATTCCATGTGACTCAGAATCATCAGCAACTATTCATCAAGATACCCTTGAACAAATGAATGACTATGTGTGTGTAGGCATTTTTAAACCCCAGGCCTGTTGCTCTTTGCATACTGCCACTTTCAGCCTCCCATCATTCTCTCACCAGGGTGCACACAAGGAATGTAAATTTCAAATGTAATAGGGTATAATTAGAGTAGCAAATCTGATACAGGTAAATATACTAATCCCAAAGATTAAAACTACCCATAACGCTACTCTCCAATGTTAACTCTGCTGAACAGGCACTGTGGCACACAACCTGACAAATACTTCTCATAAATATCATTTATTTCCATCCACTCCTTGTCATACATGACTATTCCTGATCCACACCAATTCTAAGAACGCAGTGTCCTTTCCGTTAAGGTTGCTTTCTCAATTAGTTTCTCAAATCCCGGTCGTCGTCGTCGTCGTCGTCTCCCAAAAGAAGGGGTGCACTCTCCCACTTGGCACAAGAAAACACCAATAACAAACGGCAGGAGGCAGAGGGTGCTGCTCTTGCATCTCCACCACTACCAACCCTTCGCCATTATACCTCAAGTGGGCCAGTTAGAAAGGTGAACTAGTTTGTTCTTCACACACTTGTCCATTCGCTGTCACCCTCCTTGTCCTCCTCCACACCCTCTGCCCCACCCGCCTGCCTGCCTCCAACTCTCCCTCAAAAGTGGGCCTAGGCGGGTCACCTGCGCCGGCCCCACCCGGGGCCCTCCATCCTCGCACCCCCTCCTCCAGCCCTGCAGGCACCGCTCGCCCCCTCCCCATAGAGCAGATATCTCAG